CTGTGGGACAAAGGAGGAGCACAGCTGGGCCAACGGCCCCTGGAGCCTGCTGTCCTGGCCGCTTCATCCTCTGCCCACAGCTGAGCCCAGGAGAGGTGGCAGGGCTAGACCTCGTAGCAGGGCAGGAGAACGACGGACAGGCTTCCAAGGGGGTAGGGAAGCAGAGTGCCCAGGGCTGGGTGGAGACAGGGGAGGAGAAGGCTGAGGCTGCAGCTCCTGGCTGTGGGAGATGGAGCAGGAAGTATGAGGTTGCCCTGCATGACACATGCAGGGGGTGAGGCTCAGTGGTCTACCGGGGGAGGGATGGTGGCCTGAGGACTGCAGCAGGGTCAGCTCCCTCACAGCCAGGCCTCCAAACCTGCCTGGAGGCCAAGCCCAGTGCTGCCAGGGCAGGGCCTCAGTCACAATTAGACTCTTCAGCTTGCAGCTGGCTGGGCATAGGTCTTTTGGCACTTGCTTACAATTTATGGGCGTCCTTGCAAGGGCTATGGGCAGGAGGCCTCCCAGCTGTTTACCCAGCGCTGAGGAATTTGAGGGCTGTGACAGCCCAGTCTGGCTGGAGGGGGTCCAGCCGGGCGCAGCTGCTTAGAGGAACCTGCCTGGCTCCCGTGCCTGGCTGAGAAGGAGTCACGGCTCAGAGCACGGACTTGGGCCTGTCCCTGAAGTTACTGATGGAAAAACAGGTTAGAGTGTGAGGTGTGACCATCCCAAAGTCCCACGCCAAACCTGCGCTCCAGTGAAGCCCAGAAGCCAGGCTAGGGGGCAGAGAGAGAAATTCCCTTGCTGAAGGGACCTTGTTTGTGTGTGGTGCTATTTATTGGCTCCTCCACTAGAGCATTTGCTCTGATGGTGGGAAGCTTGCGTGTCTTGCTCCTGGCAATGTCTGAACACCTGAAACGTGCATCTTGTTGAATGTAAGAAGAAGCCGGAAGACAAGATGTCCAGGGGAAGGAGTTGCAGAGGCTGGGGCAGAGGCCTTCTGCTGCCACCAGAGACCAGGGCTCTATCCACCTCTCCACTCCCGTTGTTGCCTGAGTGTATGGTCTTTGTCCTCATGGTTCTAAACTGGCTGCTCTTCCTTCGGGTAGTGTACCTGCATTTCTGGCAGGAAGAAGAGATTTAGGACAATGGATAGAAGGTGTGTACTCATGGAACCTGTCCCTTTTAGAGCAGAAAAACTAGTTTCCTAGAAGTGCCTTAATAACACCTTGGCTAAAGCATTCGTTCTCTGACTTGCTTTTTAATTTTAACTTCTCCTCAGGGCACGGCCTATCACTTGTTTGGCGGTTTTGTTGTTGCTTTTATTTGATTACACAAAAATCCCCTATCTGGGGGAAATACCCTGTGAGACTGTTCTTGCTGTCGTATCAGTTGTAGGTGTGCTACTTTCGCCACCAACATCCTAGGGGGCTTGGATCGACAAGGTTCTGTCCCAGGGCAGGGCTACAAACTGGAGTGGGGTGCTGCCAGAGGCTGAGTTTGACGGGGGTCGCCCTCTGGCCCTTCCAGCAACCCTGGAGTCAGTGTGAGGACATGGGTGAGACCAGGGCCAGGTGGGGAGCTGACTTTCCCAGTGCTCGTCTCCCTCTGGGCAGTGCTCGCTGCACCCATGGCCTCAAATGCTGGGCTCTGCGAGTACCCAGAGCTGATCTGCGGCCTAGGGCCTTGGCAGGGCTTTTCTGGCCATCTACAGCCCATGAGCCCTCCCCGGTACCATTCTCCCAGGGCCACCCATGCAGAGACTGAGGCAGCAGGAATGAGTGTAGGGTGTGACAGTGCCCTGCAAGCCACCCCCTTGGCACTGCCAGACTGAGAGTGACAGCCTCAGGGCAGGGCCCTTGGAGGGCCTGGCTGTCACTGGTCTGGGCCTGGGGGTTCTCCTTGTCCTGTTGATCCACAGGACAGGGTGGTCAGCAGCTGCAGTGGCTGTGTGACCCAGCCCTGGGGAGTGGCTGCGGTAGGAGGCAGGGAAGGATCGGGCTGTGGTTTCATTTATTTTCCAAGACCTTAGCTTTGGCCCTGCAGGTCCATCTGCACCTCAGGCCAGAGCGTGAGAGGAGGGCAGTTGGGAGGGAGTCACAAGCCAGCGGCCAAGCAGGAAGACAGCCTGCAGCAGGGAGAGATCCCGGATGCATCCCTGGGCCGCCCTCACCCTCGTCCCTTCCAAGCCACTGTCCCCAAGGAGGATCTGCTTTCTAGAAGGCTCACCGCTGACCAGCTGTGTGTCCTGCGGCAGGCCACTGCCCCCTGGGGTCAGCACATCAACACCTCTCCCTTCTTTCCTCCTGGCTGGGACGGGGGGAGACTCCCCTGGGAAAGGGCTTAGTTGAGACAGAAATAATCCTGGCAACAATCACAATCAAAATAGTCCCCATTGTGCAGACCGTGCTATGACCCCAACCCTCCCAAATGCCTTATCTGGACTAATCAAAAAGACACATGACCCCAGACTCTGTTTAATCATGAAACCTGGCAGAGTAGGGAATTCTATTTTTACCTCCGGGCTTGTGGGCGGGGAGGGAAGTTCCAATAACGTTCTTCAGGCTTCACAAAGAAAGCAAAAAAGTAATTCTGCCTTTGAGGAAACCAAGATGAATGTTTAAATATTAATATGCTCTGGCAGTAGACAATGGAGCAGGACAGCCAGTCAGGAGCGTGGACTTTTCCGAGTAAAGATGACTTTTCAGGATATAGGGATCATCGTCAAAGTCAAGGAGTCCTAGAAGACTCCTGGGTCAGAGATACCGATTGCAAGGACAATTTCCCAAGCAGCATTGACTCAGCCTGTCATGGTGCACAAACAGGGCCATTTCTTCTCAGGTGGATCAGTTTGGTGGGTCTGAGTTTCCCTGTCACCAAGGAGGGGATAGAACTTGGTTGGAGCTCGATATGGTGGTGCATGCCTGTAATCCCAGCACTGTGGGAGGCTGAGGCAGGAGGATCACAAATTCGAGCTCAGCTTGGGCAATTTAGTAATTTAGTGAGACCCCGTATCAAAATAAAAAATGAAAAGAGCCAGGGATTAGTTCAGAGCAGAGGTCCTGGGTTGCATTCCCAGCAGCTCAGAGCATGTGATTTGTAACGAAAAGGACAGAGCGTGAATACGGGATGATTGCAGTCTTGTTTCTGAGTGTGTGTGTTTGTATTGATCCTTACACAAGAGAAGGGTGTTAGCATCACCTCCACTCGGTGCAGAAAGGAAGTGAGTTCCAGAGAAGCTCACAGCTTGCTTGGCATCACGCAGTGAGGAAGTCATAGGCTGCACTTGTGTGCATGAGACTGTGGTCTCCATGGAGAATATTTGGGCGCTCCAGTTGCACCATGGGCTTTGCTGGATTCATTTCTTATTGGTACTCAAACAAATGACCACACACAGCACCAAAAAAATTTTTTTTTAAATTTTTGAGACAGGGTCTTGCTATGTAGTTCAGGCTGGCCCTGAACTCACTATATAGGCCAGGCTGGTCCTGAACTCACTGTAATCCTCCTGTCTCAGCCCAAGTGGTGGGATTACAGGTATGTGCCACCATGCTTGGCCCACAGTACACGTCATCTTACAACTGTAAGTTATCTTACAGTTATGGAGGCCAGAAGTCCAAAATGGTTCTCCATAAGCTAAAATCAAGGTTTGGAGCCTTTAGAAGAAAATTCATTCCCTGACCTTTTCAAAAGCTTCTAGAAGCCACCTGCATCCCTTGGCTTATGGCCCCTTTCTCCATCTTCAGGGACAGCAGTGTGGCGTCTTCAGATCTCTTTTGAGGAATCCAAGATAAATTCCTCATCTTGAGACTTTGAATTTACTCAAACCTATGAAGTTCCTTTGCCATGTGAGACGATGGACATGATCATACACCACAGGTTTCAGGCATTAGGAGGTCTGTGTGTGTGTGTGTGTGTGTGTGTGTGTGTGTGTGTGTGTGTGTATAAGGGTAAAGACTCCTACTTTTGGGATAACGGTCATTCCCTGCTCAGGGAGTTGTGGGGAGGCCAAGCTTGTGTTCCACAGGGACTGAGTAAGGACCCCAGCAGGGACCTGCATGTGCTAGAGGCTGGGTCCCAATTCCAGCTCTGTCTCTGCCAGTGGCCTAAGTAGGAGAAGGAGGAAACAAACAGATGCACTCATGTGACCTGATTTCATTTTTACCACAGTCTTGCTGGGGCACTTAGCAAATGTGGAAACAGTAGCTCCGAGAGATCAAGTGGCTTTCCTGAGATGGTGCAGCTACTCAGTGGGGAGCTGGGGTTTCCCATGCCTGTGATTCTCAAGCCAGTGATGCCCACTCCGCCTCCACGGCTGTCTGCCCCATCTGCGTGCGTGCTAAGCTTTCTTAGTACTTTAAATTGGCTTACTGCCTTTAGTTTAATTGTATCTGTTTTAAAATGAAACTATATTACTCCTATAAGTGGAAAATCACAGAATTCATGGGAGAGAGATATAGATATTATAATATACTATATACTCTCATACTATACTATTATACTAATATACTATATACTATTATACTATTATATATAATATAATATACATTAAACTAAATTTATCACTGTCAAAATGAAAAATATTCTTTTTTTGTTTTGTTTTTGTTTTTTGAGACAGGATCTCACTGTGTAGTTCAGGTTGGCCTTGAACTCACTATGTAGCCCAGGCTGGCCTCAAACTCACAGCAATCCTCCTGCCTCAGCCTCTGGAGTGCTGGGACTACAGGTGTGCGCCATCACGCCCGACTCTTTATCTAGATATGGGTTTGGCCACTATCCTGGCTTCCAAGGGTGGTGGTGAGCGTCCTGGGTGGGGCACACTATGTAGCCCAGCCCTAGCAGGGAAAGGTGCCGAGGGTCTAGGTTCTGTCCTCCCCTGGCCCCCTGAGGTGGCAGGTGGCCTGCAGAGCTCTCTGAGGCCGCTGTGGTTCTCTCCCCTCCCTTCCCCACCACCCCACCCAGCTGTGACGCCTGTGCCCCTGCTGTCTGGGGCAGGGCGGAAGTAAGGCCGGCAGCCTGCAGCTTCCCCTTTTCTGCCTCACTCGGGGCGCTGGCTCCTTCCCCTCAGTGCCTCAGAGGAGGGGACGCAGCACCATGGCCCCCCACGCAGCCCCCATCCGCCAGATCTGCTGCTGCTTCAATGTCAAGATTGCCACCACAGCTCTGGCCATCTACCATGTGGTGAGTGTGTGGCCAGCCAGGCGTTGTGTGTGCGTGTGTGTGTGCGCGTGTGCGTGTGCATGTGGGAGACCTGTAATCTGCTGAGTCTCTCCAATGGGAGGACTGATGTCTCCCACCTCCCCAGGGCGCCCTGGAGAAATCCTTTCCCGCTTGAGTCTCAGTCTCCCTCTGTCAGAGGGGGAGGGAGAGCAGCAGAGCAAGGTGGAGGGAGAGCCTTCCTTCCAAACCTTGTAACTTACCTCTCTCTGAGGCTCAGAACTTGCCTCAGTCAAATGGAGCAGAATGCAGCCCCAGGGGCATCACAGCTGCAGCAACAGATGTGAAAGTGCTTTGGAGGCAGGGATCTGGGAGGAGTGCAGGCAGGGGTTGCTCCAGGATGTGCCATGGGCCCAGGTCTGATTCTTTCCTCCAGGTCTGGACCGGCCTGGGCTGCTCTGAGGTTGAAACCTCTCCTTTGTGCTTCCACTGGGAGGCAGGGGGCTGAGCTCTCCTCCTACTCAGTCCAGCCAAGCTCTGGCTTGCCCCCAGCCAAGCAAGCTTGAGAGCCTGTGCAGACCCGTAAGTGCCTGGCCCCAGCTTTCTCAGAGCCAAAGGGAGCGGTGCCAGCGGTTCCTCTTTGGGGGGCGGTGGCCTTTGTCTGTTTGTGACCTCAGGCAAGTCACGGCCTCAGGTCAAGTTTCCCTACTGGACTCTGGTGGTGGAAGGTCAGGGTCCCTGTTGTGTCCCAGGCCCACACCCCACCCCCAGCTCCTGGCCACATGCAGCTGCCCTAGCCCCAGGCGTCTTATTGCTAGGGCTGCTCAGAGCCTGTGGCTAACAGTTCTCTCAGGGGCCTGGAAGGGCTTCCTCAAATGAGCTCAAGGCAGCAGGCTGCAGTGGGCTGCTGAGACTGCTGAGAGCTGGCTGATTTGCTTCTCGTCACAAGCAGGGTGGCCAGGGCAGTGTCAGAAGTAAGCCTTCATGGCCTAGCGCCACTCAGCAGTTTGCAGACAGCTCTGGATCCAGACTCCTGGGTACAAACCCTGGCTTCCTCATTTCTTAGCTGTGCAGCCTTGGCAACTTATTAAACCTCTCTGAGCCTGTTTCCTCAACTGAAAAATGGGGAGGAAAATAATGCCTGTCTGATAGGGTTGTTGTGAGGGTCGGGGAGTTAATGCATAGGACAGTGCTTGGCGCATAGTGACTGCTTTATTAGTGGTGTGTCAGACGTACCACCTGCTACCAAGGCACTTGGACCCAAGCTGTCGGGGTCGCAGGATGCCAGTTGCAGGAGGAGCTCAGCTCCTGCCCACGCAAGACTTGAGAGGCAGATGACACACTGTCTGCCCCACGTGAAGTCCTTTGGGCCTTCAACCCCTGAGAGTGCAGCACAGTTAGAAAGACAGTGCGGTGGGCAGAGACGCGCCTGCAGAAGGCCCCTGTGTCCTTACCCCAGCTCTGCCTCTAACTGTGTGGCCTTAGACAGCCCTGTTTCTCAACCTGGTTCCCCTTCATAAAGTTGGAGGTATTGGGGGGTGTTTGGGGGTTTGCTGCCGCGGGTGTCGAAGGTGGTGGCCTCTAGGGTTCAGGCAGCTCATGTGCGCGGCTTCAGCGGGCAGAGGGACCTGAGGGGTGGGGGTGGGGTTCTTGCTCCGTCCACCCTGGTGGCCGCTGTGTTTCCGGTGGTGGTTGCGGCAGAGGAACGTGGACGCTGGCTGTGGCGCTTCTGACTTGTGCAGCAGCAGGACTCTGGCTTTCGTGGCTCGGCTGCAGGTGCTTCAGTGTCGGTGACCAAGGCCAGGTGAACGCCCGTGCGGGCTGCACAGCACGACTCTGCATCTCCCCTGCGCTCCTATCCGGGTCCTCACCCGTGGGCTTGGCAGGTTAAGCCACGCGCAGTCCCCGTGCACAGAGCTGGCAGCTGTGGCCAGGTGATCAGGAACACACGTTGGAGCTGGCACTGTGTGGGCAGGAGGTGCAGCCTGGCCAGGGGGGCATGGGCAGGGGAGGAGAAATGGTGTGCAAAGGTGTGCGTGTGTGGGACTTGTCCAGGGGCCGCTGCAGAGACCAGCTGGAGGCTGGGGGAGGAGGGGAGAAGAACTCTGGCGGCGAGCTAGGAATCTGGATCTTCCCTTTAGAGCACCATGCACGTCTGAGGCTGGGTAGTTCTTGTTCGTGCAGGAAGTTGAGCAACATCTCTGGCCTTTGCCCACCAGATGCCAACAGCACCACCCCATCCGCCACCTATGTCCCTAGATCAGGAGCAGGGTGGCTCTCACCAGAGAATCACTGCCTGCAATGTGGGTCATGGGGAGTCATGGAATGTTCTAGGGCCAGGGGAGGCATAAGAACTTGGAAGCTGGATGCAGGCCCAGCCAGACTTCTTTAGCCGACTCCAGTGGGGGCTTATCTTCCTGTCATCTTGTCGAGAGGCCCCTGCTCCTTCCCAGAAAGGGCGGGGGCTGGGGGCTTTCCCGAAGCCCAGCCGTCGGGTGGCAGGTGTACTGACAAGTCCTTGAACATCTGCATGGTAAGCGACGCCACCATGCAGATGTGCCAATTGCCCAGGTTGGTCGTCATCTGGAGCCAACCATGGGTGACAGCTCTGTACGCTGTGAGCTATTTGTGGATGTGACAAACCCTCTGGGGAGGCTTAAATTGGGCCCTTGACGTCCTGGGAGAGTGCCACGCTTTGCCGAGCTGCAGGGACGTTATTACGAGAAGTGGCTTTCGAGCCAGTCCCTTGGTCTCTGGCTCCGGGGGCTGGGATCCTGCTGGGTTGTGGGGAGCATTTTCTGGGCACTTGCATCTGCACACAAAGGAAGTTGGGGGCTCTCAGTCCTGGCTGATCATCAGCCATGAGTGCCCTTCACTGGTGGCAGGAGATGGGGAGCCCAAGGGGGCCCTTTTGCCTGGAATTCTCTCCCTCCCTGGCCTTTTCTGCCTTGTGCGCCTGGAATTCCATCTTAGAAATGCATGTCAGGGTAAAAACTTACACCTGCTGTGATAAAAAAACAAAACAAAACAAAACAAAAAAAAATCAGATTTTATCTGTAGAAACAGGATATAGCAAAACCAAGCGAGGAGGAAATGCACCAATGCTAACGGTGTTGTCTCTGGGCTATGATCTTGAATGTTCTACTTTTTTTCTACTTTTCCATATTTTCCATATTTGGTGCAACAAACAAGTACTACCACCGGGTGTGATGGTGCATGCTTGTAATCCCAGTATTCAGGAGGCTGAGGTAGGAGGATTGCTGAGTGTATGAGGCCAGCCTGGGCTACATAGTGCGTTCAAGACCTGCCTGAACTAAATAGCAAGACCTTGTCTCAAAAAAACCAAACCAAACCAAACCAAACCAAACCAAACCAAACCAAACCAACCAAACAAACAAAAACAGTACGAGTGTGTGTGTGTGTGTGTGTGTGTGTGTGTTGCATGTTCCCAGAGATCAAACTCAGGGCCTTTACAGAGCTAGCTTACACAGAGCTACATCTGCATCCTCAGTCTTTTTTTATTTTGAGACAGGGTCTTGCTAGATCACTAAATTGCCTTTTGATCCTCCTGCCTCAGCCTCCTAGAGTGCTGGGATTACAGACATGCACCAACCACTGCGCCTGGCTATATGTCCTACTTTTCAAAGTAAACTGCTCATCTTTCGTACAGCTTTAGATTTATAGAAAAAGTGTGCATGTAGCACAGAGAGCTCCCTATACCCTTAGAAGGTGCCACCATTAAAGTCCACGTGGTGGTGGCACAGTTGCTGTAATTGGTTGTTGGTGCTGATGTGCTGTTGTTACCTAGAGCTCCTGCTTTTCCCTCATTCCCTCAGCTTTCCTCATATCCTCTCCTGCCCAGAACCCCACCCCAGGCCCCTCTGGGGTATTCATTACTTCTTAGCACCCTCTGTGCCGGGACAATTTCTCCGAGATGCTGTTTCTGGCGACCTTGATGGTTGTGAGTCCTGCTGGCTGGGTGTTTTGTTGACTGCTGCTCAAGGGGACTTTGCCTGGTGGTTTCCTGTGACGAGCCTGGGATCACGTACATTTGGGCGTTTGTTTGTTTGAGACATGGTCTCGCTGAATTGTTCAGCCTGGCCTTGAACTCAATATGTAGCCCACGTTGGGCTTGAACTCAGGGTGATCATCCTGCCTCAGCCTCTCACTGTTGGGATTACAGGCGTGCACCACCATGCTCCAAGGCAGATTGTGTGCGTTTGGGAGGGAGAATGGGGGCGCTGAGGCCTGGCCCAGCCCGGAGGGATCGGACCACCAAGAAGAGGCGCGGTGACCCTGCCTCGGGGCTGTATCCACCAGTTACCCTCTGCCCTGCCTTGCTGGGCTGTGCCCATCAGAAGGAAATCCCCGCACAGCCCACCTGCATGCACAGGAGCCGTGTCTGCGGGTGGAGAAGCTCCATGGGTTACTGGGGGCTCCTCACAGGCGGGAGGGGGCTCATCTGCTCCCTCCACTTCCTGTGTCCCCGAATGATGCATTTCTGTGTATTGGAGGGACTTGCAGGTATTTGTTTATTTATGTACTGCTGGGGATTGAATCCGGGAACTTGGCACTGAGCTACATCCCCAGCCCTTTTGTATAGTTTTGAGACAGGCTTTCCCTAAATTGCCCGGGCTGGGTTGGAGCCCAAGTTCTTTGCTGTTGTTGTTGTTTTGTTTTTTTTGAGACATGATCAGGCTGGACTTGAACTCACTATGTAGCCCAGGCTGGCCTTGAACTCGCAGCAATTTTCCTACCTCAGCCTCCTCAGTGCTGGGGTTATATGTGTGTGGGACCATGCCATCCTGGGCTGGAACTCTTGACCCTCCTGCCTCAGTCTCCCAGAGTGCTGAGATCATAGGTGTGTGTCACCGCACCCTGCTTATTTATTTTTATGCTTGGGGTTGCAATTCCAAGCTGATTTATCTTGTGGCTCAAATGCTCTGCTTTTCAAATACGGAAGAACAGTGGAGCCCGATGACTCCCAGAGAGGTTGCCCTGCATTCTGAGTTGTGCCTTACAGCAGCCTCAGGCCAGGAGGTGGCTGACTCCCCTGTTTCTGAGGAGGCCCAGTCCACCCTGGCAAGCTGTGACAATGCGACAGATGACACTGCTGGCTGCTGTGGGGGCACTGGGAGGTGGGGGTTCAGGGAAGGCTTCCTGAAGGAGGTGTCACCCCCAAGGATGAGCAGGATTCGCTTTTCTGTGCCGGGTAAAGGGCACACCAGGTGGAGGCAGCGGCGTGGGCCAAGGCTGGGAGGCGGCAGGCGGCTATGGTGTTTGCAGAAGCCAGAGGTGCGTCAGGCAGGCTCAGGAGGGACCCCCGGGTGTGGGCCTCACAGCTACAAGGAAAGCTCGCTCGTCTTTTTAGTGATGAAAAAGTGGAGGCCCAGCAGGGCTTGGATCTGCTGAGGGCACACGGGGAGGAGGCTGGAGGCCGCCTCGGGCTTCCAGAGACTGCACACAGGTGGGTGAAATGAGCAGGGAGTGGACAGAAGCCTCCTGTCCGGTTCCAGGCCGGGGTTCCCATCCTTGCAGGCTGCCCTTCCCTCACTTGGTCTCCCAGCATTTGTGTCTTCTCTGGTCCACCTCAGGGGAAGCTTCCGCCTCCAGGAAGCCCTCCTGACTTGTCTGTCTCAGAACTCTTGGAGCTCCTATCTGCCCCACTTTGGAGGCAGAGCCTGAAAAGAACAAAGGCCCATCTCTGTCACTCCATGGCCATGTGGTCCCGAGCAGACCAGTGCCTTGGTTGTCTGGGCCTCAGGTTTTCCATCTGTAAAATGAGGCTGTGAACCTGGCCTCAAGGCAGAGGGGTGTGAAGCTGCGTGGCCCTGGCAGGTGGGGGATGGGAGTCTGCTGCAGGGGCCCCTCTTCTTTTGGAAACTCATCTGTTTGGGTCCCGAAAATGGGTCCTTGGGGCTGGGAATATAGCTCAGTGGCACAAGCACCTGCCTGGCAAGCACAATGTCCTCATTTCGATTTCTGGTACAAAAAAAAAAATGGATCTTTGGAAAGTCCCCTGGTCAGGGTCTGTGAGAACCTGACACCTTCATGCCTGATGCCCTGGGCTGGACAGAGGCCTGGTTCTTCACCTCTGCTGCTCTGCGTCCTTCCTGGGGGAGGAACTGCCTCCCTCCCCAGTGCACGGCCCACGGCCCCGACAGAGCTGAGTTTTGCACCCCACCCTCCGCTGACACCGGTCCCTTGAAGAAGCTGTGTCCACGGGACCTAGGAGGCTCTGAGGGGCAGGGATGGAGGCGGACCCTTACTGTTACACGAGGCTCAGGGGCCCATGAGAGTGGTCACTTCAATGTGGGATCCAGGTCAGGACAGGCCAGAGCCCAGGCTGGGCCCCGTGTCCTCCCCACTTCCCGGTCTCAGGCTCAGACCCAGGTGCTTCTGGGAGCAGAATGAGATGGTAGCCCCAGCAGTTGGAGGTCACCTTAGTTGCTGTCAGAGGGGCACGGTTGGGGGAGGCGTCCACCTGAGGGGGCCCCACAGGGAGGGCCTGGGATCTCTTAGATGTGCCCCTGGCTGGAGGGCAGAGGCTGGCCAGGCTGAGGATGCCCTGTGACTGCCTGGGCCTGAGTGCCCCAGGAAGTGAAGTTTTTATTTTGAGCCCAGAGCAGTGGCCCGGAACCAGGACATTGCTCTGAGATCACTGTGAGGCCAGCGTTGGACTCCCAGGGGACCCCACCCTACCTGAAAGGGGGCACAGAGCCCTGTGAGGCAGGAAGCGGAGCGGCAGCTGCTTGCGAGTGGCCAGGACGGCGCTGCAGCCTCAGTTTTCTCCCTGTCAGCCCCCCTTGGCAAGCACCTCTAGGCTACAGAGGAGGAAACTGAGGCTCCAGGGTCTGAGCAACCTTGCAGCTGGTGGCAGATAAAAAACAAAACCAGTGGTCCTGCTCCAGCCAGGACAGGGGAGGGGCTGTCTTCACCTGCAGGGAGCCTGTTGTCTGAAATCAGCACCTACGTCTACAGATAGCACTTTCACCTGCCGGACAGGAAACGGGATAGTACCAAAGCTGCCTCTGACGTCTGAGTCCAGGAGGACCTGGCATCTCTCGGGCGTGCAGTAATAATAGTGACAACACTCAGTCACAGTTGTGGATCTTTGCTGTCAAGATCCCTGGGGACGCGATGGCTTGGGGAATGGTTTGTGGGGTGGGTATTCAGGAAGTGGAGGGTGACTAGGTCTTGGGCTGAGCCTGGAGACCAACTCTGACTCCCCGTACGGCTGCCCCTAAAAAGAGATTTGATGACCCCCCCCCCATGGCTGTCTGTGCCCCTACCTAGGTCAGGGACCTCAGCCCAGTGTCCTGAGCCTGCGGTGGGGTGGGGGTGGCCTCTCTGCCTTCTCTCCCAGGGGCAGGCTTGCTGGGAGGGCGCTCGACACTGCGCTGGCTTTCCCAGCGCCCTGGGCTGGAGCTGGCTGCTGGGCTCCAGGTGCGGCCAGTCTCACCCTGCAGGTGGCAAACTGTGTCAAGCCCCATTGGCACTGCCATGCTCTGTGGCTCTCAGGGTCTTTGCACACGCTGTTGCTCTCCAAAATGCTCTTACTGCGCCAGAATCCCCAGCCCTGCAAAGCCTGTGGACCCGTGTGTTTCCAGCTACATTCTTCCCACCCACCCTGCAGCACACCTGCCGCCGTTTCCCGGGCGGGGGGGCACTCCAGGCCCGGCACACGAGTGACCCTGAACACAAAAGAGTCTCACGGTTTCCCGGCTGCATGGCCCACACTCTGGCCTTCGCTCACGCCATTTGCTCTGCCTGGACAGCGTTCCCAGCGTTTCGGGAGAAATCTGGAAGACTTGTTCCCTCCGAGAAGCCGTCCCTGAGTCCCTGCATGGACCCTGAGCTCCCAGTGTGTCCCAAGCCCTGTGCACTGGGACCCGTGTGTCATGGTGTCTGGCCTGCAGGCTCACGCAGGGCTTGGCCGTGTGCCTCTTCAGGGCTTCAGGTCCTGTAGGAGGTGTCAGCTGATCTCTATTTTATTTCTGTAAACCTTAGCGCATTGTTTGCCCGTGGAGAAGTTTGGGTCTCTCCAGGGCACATCTTGAGGACTGCTCACAAAGTAAGCACACCCAGGGCCCCTCAGCCAGGACTGAGCCAGCAGACAGGACCAGCGTGAGGACGCGGCATCGCTCCTCATTGCCCCCCAGCTTCTCTGCCTGCGACCTCCAGCTCAGAGCACTGGCAGCTGCAGAGCCGGACGGATGCGGCTTCTTTCTCAGCCGTCACGCTCGGGGCCGCACCGTGCTGCATAAACGCTCCGTTTTCTCACTGTGGGGTAGCATTTCAGGGTGTGAACTGGCCAGGATGAGTTTGCACGTTCCCTGCAGAAGGGCGCTGGGCTGTAACAAACGGGGCCCGGCACCCGGACCTATGTTGGTGTCACCAGCCCGTCTCCCTGAATCACTGTCTTCAGCGCTAGACAGATGTCACCGCATTCACTCGCCACGGCCACTCTCCCAGGCTGCTTCTTTCTCTTCTACAGCTGGGGAAACTGAGGTGGAGAAGTGAAGGGGCTTCAGGAGAGCCACAGAAGGCACCGGAGGCTGCACCAGGATGGTTTTTTTCTTTCTTTTTGAGACAGGGTCTGGCTATGCAGTTCAGGCTGCCCTTGAACTCACTATGTAGCCCAGGCTGCCCTTGAACTCACAGCGATCCTCCTGCCTCAGCCTCCTGAGTGCTGGGATCACAGGTGTGCACCATCACGCCCGGCCTTGGATTGGGCTTCTAGCTGAGGTCTGTGAGCCTGAGTCTAGGTAGAGGGGGGCAATTATGTGAGGGGTGCCGGTGGGGGAGGACGAAAGGGGCCAGAGATAAGGGGAGAGGAGCAAGGCTCTGGGCGGTGAAGGCAGCTGGCTGGCTTGCAGCTGAGGGTGTCGCCCTGGGACGGGGAGTCTTGATGCTATCTGGGCTCCATGGAGAGGTGGCTGGGGAGATACAGCAGTGGGGGAACGGCCCGCACCCAGCCGCCCTTGATAAGCTGGCACAGGAAGTGTGGGCAGGGGGAGGGCTTCCTCTCCCTGCTGACGCATCAGGTTGTCATCTGCCTTCTTGTCCCAGGCCACCAAGGGGGACCCTGGGGAAATGGGGACAGGTGAGCAGGAGGTGGTAATAACCATCTGACATAACGGCCTCAGTGTGTGGCAGCCTAGCCGCTCCCCCCCACCCCCCTGCCAGCGGGGACCCAGGGACACAGTGGGCAGCTCTGAGATAAGTGGCAGGAAGGGGTATGGCCTCGGGACCGGGTTGCCAGCTGTGCTATCTGTGGCGAAGGGTGAGGCCAGTTGCTGTGCCAAGTCACGCAGGCAGAGCCGCTGGTCTTCAGGACAGCGGGAGCAGCCGTGAAGTTAACACCCGGGCAGGCGCCCTGCAGGGGCCGGACCACACACACAGTTCAAACTTGACCCTGAGAACCACAGAGGGACGAGGGAGGAGCGTCTCCCCCGCCTCCTCTGAGGCCGGGACGGGTCCAAGGTGGAACTGGGTGAGCTCGTCTTTCCAGGGAGGGAGTTGGGCTTTGAACCCTCGAGTTGGGGGGTCTGACGTCACCACCCCACCTGTGTGATCTCCGTCCTCACCATCCTACCGCGTCCCCACTAGCATGGCCTCCAACAGCGTCATCAACGTCCCTGCTGCGCCGTGCGCCCCCTGTGGTGCACCTGGCCTCCTCCCGGGATGTCTGCTGGTGTCCCTTCCGCTGCCACCACCCCTGCCATGTTTGCTGTCATCTTGCCGTCACCAGCCGCTGCACTGCCCCCGGTCACCTCGCATCAGGCCGTGTCAGCTCCAGCAACATCACGCAGCTCTCCCCTCCAGGACGGTGGCTGTCGCCCGTCACCTGCCCACCACTTCCCTCCACGTTTCAGCCCAACTGTCCCCTCGGCCACGCTCAGTGTCACCCTTTGTTCCCTCCTGTATGACCCCTACCTTTCGAGCTCAAGCTGCGGGCTGCAGCTCAGAGCCGCCAGCAAAGAAACCACATCTTCTGTCCCTTAGCCACTTCCTCTCCCGGGCAGCTTAGGGAAGCGGAATGGGGAATTGAGAGCAAGGAGGACTGAGGAATGGGCGCAAAAGGGGAACGGAGAGCGGCGTGGGGAGGGCTGGGCTGAGGGGGGCTGGGCGGCCAACGCGGAGCTGGGAGGGCTGAGCTCATTCTGACTGTGCACATCTGCTGGGTGACTGTGAGCTGGTCCCCGTCTCCCTCTGGACCGCACATCCCCACTGGTAACATCCCCTTTCTCAAGGAAGAGACAGCTTCCCCTGGGAGATACACTCTATCTGCACAGTCAGGCCCCTGGGCCTTTGCACGTGATGCTGCCACTCCTGGGATGCTCTTTCTCATTTCTCCTGGAAAGCTCCTACTTCCAGCACATGCTGTGTTCACACCTTGGCTTCCCCTAGAGACTGACACCTGCAGGCCAGAGTGGGTGGCTAATCTAGACGACGATGGAAGCAGTAGGTGCTCAGAGTGTTTCTGGGGGTAAACAAGGCCCATGTAGAAGGAGGCCGCTGCTCCCCACTGCTGGCCCAGGGCACCTGCCCTCCCCTTTCACCTCCCACAAAGTGGGGCCAAGGCAGGTGCGGTGATCACCCCCAACCCCCAGTCCCTCGGTGAGGAGCCTGAGGCACAGGGAGGTTAGTGGCTGACTCGGGAGCACAGAGCTTGGGTTGGGCCCAGGGCCGTCTGATGCCAGCCCCCAGCTCTCAGGCACAGTCTCCCGCCAGAGTGAGAGAGCAGGGGGCAAGCTGACAGTGGACGGGGACAGCTGGGTGGCAGAGGCTGTCTGAACACTGTGGAGAGGAGCAGCCTGGTGCCCAGGGCAGCCCCAGACTTGGGGCTCTGGACCGCTCCCCCAATCTGGGTCTGCTTGGGGACTTGGAGGAGCCGTGCCCTCTCCTAGCGGGGAGGGCACGGCTGGGTGGCTGCACGAGTGGGAGGCCCCGCAGCCTGCGTGTGGTTCCCACCGTGCAGGAGATCTAGCCCCATGACCTTTGTTCAGCGGCCCCAGGTGCAGATGGAGAGGACTCCTCATCCGGGGAAGCTGAGGCTTCCTGGCCCCAGCTGTTGTCCCTGGAGCTCCTAGTGTCCGTGTTGGGGTGGCTGCCCTGGCGAGGCTGTGACAGCGAACCGCACCCAGTGCTACCAGCCCAGCCCTGAGGGGCCTCTGGCTGGGGAGCAGAGGGAGCAGGGTGCTCGTTCCTGCCAGCCAGGGGAGGCAGGGAGTAGCTGGGCTCAGCCTCTGCCCCTCAGCCTGGTGCACAGGTTGGAGCAGAGAAGTGGGCTTTTCTCCATCCCCTCTCCCGGGAAGGAGGCGGGGGAGGGCTGAGCCTACCTCCCCCTCCCCCAGCAGGGATCGGCTCTTCTGCTGAGGCTGGGGGAGGTTCTGAGGGCGCCTTGCTTGTGGCCTTGGGCTGGTTGCTGCCCTCTGTGAGCCTCAGGGTGGGAATAAGTCCCTCTCCCCGCCTGCCCAGGGCTGTAGAGAAGGGGAAGTGGGGTAGAAGGAGGCTGGGGTCGGGCACTGCCCTTGGACTACCAGAGGAGGGAGCCACGTTTGTCTGACTCACTGTGGGAGGTGGTAGCGGGCTGGGGACAGGCAGGGAAGCCCAGGAGGAGGGGCTGCAGGGCAGGGAGTGGAGGGCTTGGGACACTGGCTTGGCTGTGAATCCTGGTCCTAGAGAGGACCGGCTGGGAGGCTGTGACAAGTTCCTGGACCTCTCCGGGCCTCGCTCTCTCACCTGTGAAGCCCAGTCCCTGGCTGGTTGTGCCCGGGTCCCTTGGCATGAAGTTAGGCATGCCAGGCCCTTTCCAGCCCCTTCCCAGGTCACCGGTCAGAGGATCTTATCAAATAAGTGGATGGAGGCCCCTTTAGAAGTGGCAGTTTGCCTGATTCTGGGCTTTGCTTTGTATCTCAGATAGTTCTGGGTTCTTGGGACTTCGAAAGTCTCCTCAGATGCACCTGGTAGATGCCATGTGCCCTTTCTAAGCCCAGTGGTGACTCGTCTGTGCTCTGCTTCCATACTCCCCCTGACGGGGAGCTCACCTCCTTGCAGGGCAATGACTTCTGACTTGGGCTGAACTATCATCTGCCTCACTTTCCCTTCTGCTCCTTAGGGTGAAACTGGGAGGAGAGGAGCTGGGGCTCCCGCCCTGGGGGCTGAGCAAGTAGCTTTTGTCTCCAGGCTGCTTCCTGTGAGCATCACTACAGCCCCAGGCCCCTGGCTCCTGTGAGCAGAGCCTTCCTGGCCCCTCTGCACCAGGGGAGGGGAGGCCAGCTGAGCTCAGCTCCTCCTGCAAACTCCCAGCGGCAAGTTTGCTGGGTGCCTGAGCTCGGTGCTTTGCAAACACGACGCAGTTTGCTCCTACTGCCTCCCAGGAGTGCCCCTTCCCAGAGAAAACTCAGGCAGGTAAAGTGACTCGCCCAAGGCCATGGAGGGAGCTGGGTTCGAATCCGGCTCAGTTGGACGCCAGAGCTCTTCTTCATCAGTCTTCTATGCAGGCTCTTTCAGAACCCCTGAACAGGAAGTACCATGGCAGGAAGACAAATCAAGATCTTTGTCTGACCTAAAGAAGAAAAAGAAAAAAAGAAAAACCCATAGAATCAGCTAGGGCAAACAGATGGTAGTTGTCTGTCAGCTGAGCATGATTTGCCAGTACAAGGCCACCTAGAAAGCCCATGTAAATTGGGCCCTATTAATAAAGGTAGAGCACCCACTCAAGGGAGGGGATAATCATCACAGGAGCCAGATGAGGTTGTCTATTGTGACTTGGGGGCAGGTGCTCTCCAGGGCTGCCTATGCCCGTGCTGATCGCCGCAAGGACGCTGAGCTCCGGGAGGCTCAGGGGCCAGAGCCTGGCGTTATACCAGGGCCAGACCAGCCATCGTGATCACAAACAGCCCTTCCGGAGGGCCAGGCCTGATTCTGAGCCTCGCTGCCCAGTGGCCTTCTATGGTAACCAGTAGAATTAGCCCTGTTTGGCAGATGGGGAAATAGAGGCACAGAGAAGTCCAGTGACTTGCCCACGGTCGCACCACCGGGAAGCAGAAGGACCAGGGTGATGAGCTGGAGCTGTGCGTCTGTCGAGCCCACTTTCTCTGGCTTTCTGCCTCCCCCCCCAGGTCATGAGCGTCCTGCTGTTCATCGAGCATGCGGTGGAGGTGGCCCACGGCAAGGCCCCCTGCAGACCGTCCAAGACGCTCTACCTGCGGATCGGTAGGGCTGAGGGCGTGCGGGATGGGGGCGGCGGGTTGGGGCTGAAGGCTGGGGTCTGGCCCACCCCGCCGGGTGGCCCCCTTGTCCCCTGGCATCTCCTGGTGGTAACAGCTGAGGGTGGCACTCAGCACATCTGCCAGCCCGTAAAGGTGGTACCGCGCTCCACCTGGCAGAGTAGAGGGAAATGGAAAGTCCCGCCGGGGCCCCGCGGCCTCCCTGACTGCACTCCAGCCCTGCTGACCACACCGGCCCCAGCCCCGGTCACCCACACGCCTGTCACTCACAGGCCACGCCTCCAGGCCACCTGCCCCAACCTCCTTGGCTGAAGTAGGGTTGCCGCCCACCCACCACCTCTGTTACACCCTGAAGGGCTCTGCGGCCTTTGTCCCTCAAGGCTGGGCCTGCACCCGGGCAGGCTGGGTTTCCCTGGGCACCCCATGTCCCCTGTGAGCTGCCCCTGAGTGTGGTCCCTGGAGCCCTCCTGGGGCTCCGTGCCACCTTGGACCCCTCACCCCTCCCTGCCCCTCTTTCAGCGGACCTGGTCTCCAGCTTCCTGCTCATAAGCATGCTGCTCGTCATCAGCCTGAGCCTGCTGGTCGGCGTGGTCAAGGTAGGAAGGGGCGCCGGGGCCCGGCTGCGTTGCTGCCCCTCCTGTTCCTGCTGAGGGTGGGGAGGTGGGCCCTGGGGGAGCCCAGGCTCCGCCTGAGGGGTTTTCACAGCTTCCTTTGGGAACCTCCTTCCCCTCAGGGCTCCCTGGGCCGGTGGTACATCCTGTCACCCTGCCAGCGCAGGCAGGGATTTTAAAAGAGAAAAGTAGAAAGGGTGGCGTTGAGGCCCGGGAGAAGGGGCAGCGGTGCCGGCTTTGTCACCAGGGATGGGAGCCGAAGCATCAGAGTGCAGATGCATCTGGCTCGGAAGACAGATCCATAGACAGACAGGGCGTCCAGCGTGACAGCCTCAGGTCCGGCCCAAAGGAAGGCTGGAGGAGGCAAAGGCAGGCAAGAGGAAACCACATTTCCCTCAGCCCCAGGGAGGCAGGAGGCCAGCATCATCACACTGTCACCAGAAAGAGTGCTCTTCCTTGGCTGATAGGTGGCTGGGCACTGGTCGAGAGGGCAGAGTGGGTGGTGGTTTGGTGCTGGTCCGGAAAGTCTCCACCTTGCCCGAAAGCTGTGATTCATCCCTCCATAGCCCACTGTCTGGGAACCCAGGCCCCACCCACCTCAACTTGAAGTCCTCATTGCACAGAATGGCTGCAGAAGCTCTTGCAGAAAATTGAAGGGTCCTGCTAAGAAGGTGGAGGAGGCTGCCCCCAAAGACTGATTCAGTTGGGTTCCCCCGTCACCTCCTGGGTGGTTTTAGACACCCATATGATACATTAGGGAGCCATCTTTTCTGTGATTTGTCCCCAGCTGTGGGTGCACATGCAGGAATATGGGTCACTCACTTTCAGGTGAAGGACAGGGACTCCGGCCAGGCCTCCTGGGGCTCCTCCTATGACATCATGGACCCTGCAGTGGCTGACAGAGGGAGGTCACTGATACCAGGGCAGCCCTCCAACCTGAGCTTGCACTGACCCTTCTGCCTGCAGGGCGAGGCCCAGCTCCCTGGCCTGCTCCTGGATGCTGCCCTGGTGTCCCTGTCTGGAGTGTCCCTGCCCGGAGTGTCCCCTCTGGTCCTTTCTCTGGAAGATGGGCACAAAGCCCTTCCTTGAGGGATTTCTGGGGCAAATTGAGCCAGGTCCTTCTCTTAGAGCCCTGGTGGGGGGGGACAGTCCCTGAGGTCCCCCGAGACACAGAGAACCCTGCCCCATCCTGGGAGTCATTCAGAGGAGCGTGTGACGCGGGCGAGTGCTGGAGGGCTCAGCAGCCAGGGAGGGAAGGGACACATGGCGCCGTGGGGGCACTCTGGCCGGCTGCAGTGACAGTGTGGGGCCTGCCTTCCAGAACCGAGAGAAGCTCCTGCTGCCCTTCCTGTCCCTGCAAATCATGGACTTCCTGCTATGCCTGCTCACCCTGCTGGGCTCCTACATCGAGCTGCCCGCCTACCTCAAGTTTGCCTCCCGGACGCGGCCTGTGAGTAGCCGCCGGCCGAGCGGTGGGGAGCGGAGGCCTGTCCTGGCTGGCGCCCGGTCTCCTTCCTGGAGCCTGTCTGTGTCTGTGCGCAGGGCTCGTGGCCTGTCCCAGAGGACCCCGAAGGGAACCTTGGAAGTTCCGCTAACTGCAGGCCATGCGGGACCCAAGGCAGGGGCGTCCACGTGCAGCCATAGTCCCAGCCCTGGCCCCAAGAAAGACAGCAGAGGCGGCCAGGACCACTGCACACAATCACCCACTGGGGGTGACCGTCAGTGCCGCGGTCCCTCCAGAGTCGCTTTTTACAAGTGCCCGACTGTTGTCCTTGAAGAGACTGAGGTGCTACACGTGGGAGCTGGGGTGCCCTGGCCCGGCTTCATGAGACGCCAGTTCTAGTCCTGGGTCTGCGCACATCCCTGGCTGTGACCATCAGGCCGTCCCTTTCTTTTTTCTTTCTTTTGTTAAACAATCAGGTTTTTAAAAATTATTGTTTTATTTACTCACTCACACCTTACAAAACCCAGGGTAACACTGTTTCCTACTGGAAATGTTCTGTTTTGCTGACCAGAGCCTGCCTTAATTCATGAATGCCAAACCAAACCACCTATATCTATAATTTGTTGTAAGATTATCTCTTGCTTTGGTATAAAATCAACACAACCTGTATTACTTTATTCCCGTTAACTACAATGAATTTGACCCCGTTAGAGTATATGCATACTTTTCTTTTCCCTTCCTTCCTTTCCTTCTTCTCCCTCCCTAGTTCCTCTTTCTTTTGAATAATTTCTTCTTATTTCACAATTTCTATTATACATTTTGGTTTTTAGTTATACTTTCGGTTTCTCACACCAGAGAGACAATGCAGTATTTACACATGTGTGTCCGATTTATTTCACTTAAGAGTATGTTCCCAAGGTGCATTCATTTAGCTATAAATGTCTCAAGGCTATCCTTCTTTATGGCACAGTAGTACTCCATTCTATAAAAAAACTGCATCTTTTTTATCCATGCATCAGTTGATGGGCATTTGGGCTGTTTCCAAGATTTAGCTATTACAAACTGTGCTGCTGTAAACATGTGTGTGCATACATCGCTGTGGTATGATGTTTATAATTCTTTAGGGAAGATGCCAAGAAGAGGAATAGCTGGGTCAAATGCAACCTCTAGTCCTGCTTTTCTGAGGAATGGCCACACTGATTTCCACAGTGGTTGCCCCAGTCTACACTCCCACCAACAGTGGGGAAGGGTTCCTTTGTCCCCACAGCCCCTCCAGCATTTGTTATTGGTTGATGTCTTGATAACAGCCATTCTTTCCGGGGTGAGATGGAATCTCAGTATTGTTTTAATTTGCATCTCTCGAATGACCAGTGATGTTGAACTTGTTTTCATACACTTATTTTCCGTGTGTACTTCTTCATTTGAGAAGTGTATCCGTTTCAGAGAGGGTGTCCCTTTCTGCCTGTGGACGGTAGACTAGAGAGTCGCCACGTCCCTGGCCGAGCAGATGTGCCCACAGTGGCTGGGCCTCCGGTCTTCACTCTCTCTCTTCCTCCCTGACCTCCCCAGGGCCCTTCCAAGGTGCCCTTGCTGACCCTGCAGCTGCTGGACTTCTTCCTCAGCATCCTGACCCTCTGCAGCTCCTACATGGAAGTGCCCACCTATCTCAACTTCAAGTCCATGAACCACATGGTGAGTCTGGGCGGAGCCTGACTGTGTGGCTTCCCTTCTCGGTGCCCTGTGTCTTGGGCTGGGCTTCCTGGAGGAACGGTCACATGGGAGTGACCCGTTGAGGGAGCGCTCTTGGGAAGAAACTCGTAAGGAGTGAGGGAAGCAAGTTCCAGAAACAGGGGAAGCCCAGCAAGGAAAGGGTGGCTTTGGGGGCATCTCTGCCTGATCCCAGGGTCCCTGGACTGGGAACCGTACATGGAAATAGTGCTAGTTTTTTTTGTATTATTGCCTGACAAATTATCCCCACACATCAAGGGGTAAAAGCCACAAACACTTATTATTCCTTATGCTTTATGAAGACCAGAGATTGGACGTGGCTGGCCTGACTCAGTCTCCCCCGAGGCGGCAGCCAAGATGGCGGCCTCCAAGATGGCAGCCCCGTTTGGGCGAATCTGAGGGGTCTGCCCTCCAGATGGCTCCCTGTGCGGCTGCTGGTGCCTGGCCCCAGTTCCTCACGTGTGGCCCTTTAGTAGCGTTGCTCAGTGTCCCCAGGATACGGCTGCTGTGAGGACCATCCAAGAGGGAGAAGTGGCAGAGCAGACAGCGATGCCCTTTACCCTCTGGTCCTGGATGTCACTCACTCACTTCTGCCACATTCTGTTGGCTAGAAATGAGTCACCGAGCCTAGCCACACTCAAAGGTGGAGGAAACAAGTTCCATATTTAGGAGGAAGGAGCGTCCCAGAATGTGTCGACATATTTGCCAACCAACCACCCTGGAGGTTTTCTCCTCAGGGCATCCGTCAGGGCGTGACCTCCTGGGGGTGACAGAACTAGGCAGCTCCTATGGGCCAGAGCTCTCCCTTAGTAAAGACACGGGCACCATGGGCAGCTAATGCCACCTGCTGCGGTGTGTCCAGCAGGGCGCGGGGACCCGGGAGCAGCCACACCTGTTTCCTGGGTTGCCACCTGCCTGATGGGGCTGACAGTCACACCTGCCTCCTAGGGTCACCGTGGCCAGTGACCTGGGTGAAGGCTGTGCCACCCTGTGCTCCTGCGGGAGGGGAGTGCAGGTTCCTTGTCCTCCGTGGTTGGGGGCGGCGGGAGGTCCTCAGGCCGGAGGTGACGGGGCCGCATCTGTTGCAGAATTACCTCCCGAGCCAGGAGGGCATGCCGCACGGCCGCTTCGTGCAGATGATGCTGATCTTCTCCGTCGCCTTTGTCAGCGTCCTCATCCTGAAGGTGGGTGGCCCTTTCCTGACGCCACGGTCCCCAGGCCCCTGTGCCCGACTGTCGGGGGGCAGGGATGTGCATCCCTGCTGCCTCCTGCCCGGCTTTAGCTCTTCTCCAGCCCTTCTCATGCCAGCTCCTCCTCTCGGGGTCCTTGGGGACGCCCATGAACAGGATGTGGATGTGTTCGGGTCAGGGACTCAGTGCAACACCCAGAGACGCCCTGGCCAGGCGATCTGTCTGGGCTCAGCCTCTGGCCAGCCGGGTGTGGGCCTGGCCACCCTCGCTGGCTGTGGGGCCAGTCTCAGACGGCCACTTCCCTCTGGGCCCAGGTCATCTGCAGCATTGACGCCCTGTGCCTTGTGTGGCCCACTGTTTTGTGTGACTCAGGCACCACAGTGAGACAGACGGGCGGTCATGAGAATAGCAGTCCGGTGATGAGAAGGGGCTGCAGTGTCAGGCGCGGAGCCCCGAGTCTGGCTTCGAGCCCCAGTCTGAGAGGTGGCCACACCTAGGTGTGCGGAGCAGTGCGAGCAGCCGAGCGACACGGCAGGAAAACACAGGCGGTCAGGGAAGCCGCCGCTGTGCAGCTAGAAGAGAGGTGACACAGGGGGACGTGGTAGCTGTGGCTAAAGACCCAGCCAGCGCAGGGGAATTCTGGGATGCTGGAGGCCACAGTCAGATTGGCTGTCACTCAGCAGGTGGAAGGACCATTAAAAACCAGGCTTCTCTAGTGATGAGAGACACGCAGGGCCACTGCAGATATCCAGGAACCACAGAGAGCTGAAGAAGGCCCTCGGCCAACCCACCAGTGCCCACAGCCGCCCAGTGTCACTGCTGCCTGGTGGCATTCCCTCTGCCCTCTTTGCATCAGGGTCTCCAGGTCCCACCGGCCGTCGAGGCCCCAGCCGCCTCTGCCTCTGCTCTCACAGGAGGCCAGCCTGGAGCCTGCACTGGGCGCCTCCACACACCTGCTCCAGGGCTGCCCCTGCACAGATGCATTAGTGAGCCGCCCGGGAACTTTCCCGAAGGCTTTAAGGGGAGACAGAGCGGGGACCTGCCCCCCTCCTCCCTACTTGGCTCCCCGACCTCGTGCCCGGGCTGTCCCTATTGCTAAGCACCAGCAGAGGACACCATAGCACAGGACTTTCGGGTGTTGGGCTTGCTCCTCTCTCTCAGGGGCAGTAGGGCGCCATTCCTCCTTGAGCATTTGCTCCTTGGGACTCCATGGCCCTTGTCCCCTTGAAACCTCCCCCGGTTCTCACTTCCACTGCTGGGAGGGAGCAACGGCTTGTGTCAAGGGGCAGAGATATGCACCTGCAGATGTGTTTTTAATTTATGAGAACACGTAACATGCTGAATACTGAACATGCTGCTTTGTTGTTTGCTTTGGAAAACAACACACCAGGTGGTTTTGAAGAGGACCCTCCCCGCTGTGCACTGTCTCCACATGGGCAGGGTCCTCTGGAGTAGTGAGCTCCTCATCACTGGGGTGGCCAAGCAGGATGGATCTGCAGGACTACGGCCCGGGAGGCTGAGGGTGGGAGAGTGCTGGCCACTCAGGATGCATTGGCATCTGCCCATGCTTCTGGGCAGTGAGCAGTAGGACAGCACGGCACAGCTGCCCCTGCCCCTCCACAGGTCTACATGTTCAAGTGCGTGTGGAGATGCTACCAATTCATGAAGTATATGAACTCAGCCTTGGAGAGGAGCCACTCCAAGATTCCTCCGAAGGTGAGCCTGGCCGCTGTCCAATCCCTGCTCCCCTGCTCGCGTACTGTGCCATCTGGGGCCAGTTGCTTTCCCTCTCTGGGCCTCGGTTCCTCCACATCAAGATGAATCAGAAGAAATGCGAACATTTCCAGCTCTGATAGTAGAATATTTCATTCATTCATTCAGCATTTACTGTCTGTTGCTCTTTTGGTTTTGTATCCAATCCTGGGTGCAGAGAGGACCAAGATATGCCCTCTGCCTGAGGCATGTGGCGTCCAGGTAGAGTCCAGGTGAGCCCAGGTGTAGATACCAATGCAACTTGATGTGAAGCACAAGGACAGAGAAGGCATCTGGGGCACCAGGGAAGGCTTCCTGGAGGAGGTGACTATGACCTGGTCCTGCATGGTCAGCGGGTCCATTCAGCTGGGAAAGGGGAAGGGCGAAGACAAGGACAGCTTACACACAGCCGGCTGCAAAGTGCGCCTGGTTTAAATGACTTCCTCCTCTTTTGAAGTGAGGGTTGTGTTACTCAAGGTATTTTTGGTTGCAAGTGGCAAAGATCTAATCCTATCTAAGAAGTAAAGAAGAGAATTTACTGCTTATGCAGCTTACAAATCTAGGGTTGGTCTGGTTCGGCCCTGGCTGAGCCTTGATGTCAAGGTATGGCCCTCTCCCTCTCCTGACTCTGCTTTTCTCCTTATCGGTCCCATTCTGGGGCAGCCTTTTCCTTTTCGTGGTAAACTGGCCCCCAAGACCCTCAGCCTGGCACCCTACCTCTCGGTTCCCTGCCAGGAAGGGGAGTGTCTTTGAGTGATCCTTCTCGGGCCATGTATCTTTCCCCAAACCCATGATTCTAGCCAACAGGATGAAATTCTACTTTGTCCGGCCAAGCTTGGCTCACATGTCTACCCCCCGGAGCTTTATGTTCCCTGTTGCAGTACTGGGGATTGAACCCAGGGTCCTCACCCCAGACCTAATTTTTTTTTTTTTTAGATTTTGAGACAAATTCTCTCTAAGTTGCTAAATTGCCCAGACTGGGCTCAAACTTCCAATCCTCCCCTCTCAGAGTGCCAGGGTTACAGGTGTGCACCACCATGTCTGGTGGGACCAATTCCTTTGCAAGCCCATGGGAAGAGAAGGTTTCCTTGGGGAAAGTGGGGCGTTAATTGGAACGTGGGGAACTTGATGCTGAGCTGGGCCAGAAGCCGCTGTCTCCACCTTCACCACTGCGGTCCTACAGTTTGGGCTTCTGGTCTCCCCGTTCCTTGTCGGAGCTGTCATCCTCCTCGGTGAGTCTCAGCCCTCTTGTCTCTCTTTCCCAGGTGGTCCTGCCGTCCTACGAGGAAGCCATCTCTCTGCCCTCCAAGTCTCCAGAGGGGGGCCCGGCACCACCCCCATACTCAGAGGTGTGACCCCGCCAAGCCCCAGCCCAAGAGCTGGGAGGGGCAGAGCTGCCTTGTAATCTGCTTCTTTGCTTTGGGGGCTCCCGTGGGCTGGGTGGCCCAGCCGGCTGACTTCAGGACGATCTGCTTGTGTCCCCTCCCTGGCCTGCTCCTTGCGCAGGACTTAAAAGATGCTCACGATGGGGTCAACCCTCAGGCCGGAGATTTCCTTGCATCCCTCACAGATTCGGCCTGACTGGCTTATTTCCACCAGTTACATTTCTGTAGCTGGCTGATCATTCCACATTGGTGAGTCTGGTTAAACCACTATCAGCCTGGTCAGTTTCACCAAGCAACTGCCAAATCACAAAGGCAGATCAGTAAAACAATTTGGCCAAACAGCAGTCCTCTGCATTAATTTGTGAATAGTTGTCGCTTCACAAGGGGAGGCTCAGTGAGGTCATCCAGCAGTCACTCCCACACCCCCAAATATACACACACAACCAATTTCTTCAAGTCGCTTGCTTAAACAATTAGCAGTGCAGCCAACCATCTGTTACGGAGAATAGCGATAGATAGAAGAGGGATAGAATTCAATAAAAAATTAAAGTATCCTCCAAACCATTCATTTCCAAGGAGCCCAGCACCTGGCCGCCGGCTCTGCTCCTTGACTGCCTCCTAGTGGCTGGAGAATTGTTAATTCCTCTGAGGGGACGGAGAATTGTTAAAACAGTTGCTGGCTGTCAGCCTGTTGCAGGAAATAACGGTTGTCTCCATCCTCAAACAGTCACTCCGTGCAATTGTTTTGCTAAAACAGTTGGAACTGCCCACAGTCAAATGCTGTCCTGGCCGCTCCTGGCTTGGGCTCAGTGGGGTCCCAGTGGTGGATTCCGTGACCTCGCCCAAAGTTGTCTGGAAGAACCAGCTGTCAGCCCATGCCGCTGCCGGGCTGCTCAGGCTGGAGGCCCGGCAGTGCTGCCCAGGGCTTGCGGCCAAGCAAAATCCAGCCCTGAATCAGGCACGGCCGTGCTGGAGTCGGCCCAGGCCGGTCAGGCGTGTGAAGACAGGCACGGCCTCTGTGCTTCTGTGGGTGCACACGGGAGGCGGTGCCGTCCACACCTTCCTGTGGTGGGGGCCGGCTGCAGCACAGGTCCTCGGGTCCTCTGTCAGCGTGCAGGGAGAGGCTGCCTGGGCTCGGGAGGCTCCTGCCACACCTCACGTCGTTGCTTTTTGTGTGACCGGGAAGGGTTTCAATAAAACAGGATGAAGCTTTGTTCTGACTGATGTGGATCCTGACAGATGGTATGGAAGGGCCAGGGGGGCTGCCTTCTGCCTGTCACGCCAACACACACACACACACACACACACACACACACACACACACACATTCAGTCCGGAAAGCCTAGCCCTGGACCTGCCCAGCCAGGGACCATCCTGACCGGATGCTGTTTCTGACCCACATGCACCTTGGGTCTCGCAAGGCCCCTCAAGGCGGGGGCCAACTCCACCACCTGGCCAGCGCCTCCCTGCCCCCAAGCCAGGGCCTGCTCTGCCCTTGGAGCTGCCTTGCAGCCAGTGAGTCCCAGGCTGAGTCCCGAGACAGATCCATGAATAACTATAACAGTCCGCGGCAGACACCTCCACAGGGCAAGTCTGGACACGGGGCACAGGGGGGCAGACAGGGCTTCTTGGAAGAGGGGTCTCCAGCTGTCTGGAGGGGCCTGGCTGTCGATGACCCAGTCCCCGTGGGGGTTATGGAGCTGCTTGCTGACAGCCTGCCTGAGAGCCCAGGGCGGTCTGACTTGGGGTCTGTCACCAACACCATAAGAGCCCTGATAGATAGAGCTCTGGACACCATGCCGAAAAACAGGAGGTCTTTGAAGAGTTTTGGGCAGGTTCAGGTTTGGGTTTTGGGAAGGAGGGGACCAAGCACAAGGACTGTGACATGGCTGGTGAAGCTGTCCTGCAGGGCAGCAGAGAGGACAGGTGTGAAAGATGCGGTGCTGCCCCTTTGGTACTGTCGCCTTTTCTTGGGGATGGTAGATTTCTCCACAGATTTTATCTGCTCTTGATCAGATCCCCAAGCAATGGATGGAGAATGAGTCTAACAGAGGTGGGAACCGAGTTCCCGTTCCTACACAAGGGATCGGAGGTCCAGAGATACCAATTGCGTTTCCTGAGGCCACACGGTTGTCAGGATTAGACTCAGCACCTCTTCTGTTGAGAGGACTGAGGTCTCAGCCATGTGAGCTTGTAAAGATCTACAGCAAGAGGGATCAAGGTCCACGGCTGTGTGTCCTGAGGACCAGGCGACCCTGAGCTGGCTGATGTACTGTCTTGTCCTTCCCAGGATTGTTTACCCGCCCCTCCCAGCCCTGACCTAGAGCCAGGGAGCAGTCTGAGCTGTGTGGCAGGATTGTGCCAGGCAGCTGGGATGGGGTGGCCGAGGGACAGGAAATAGCTGGGTTTGGGGAAGTCTGTGTGGCCGGCCAAGCCAAGCGCACCAGTTGCTGGGCAGCCTCAGAGGCCGATCTCTGCCCACTTAAGGCACACACAAGGGCCTTTGACAGAAGCCCTTGGAGAGCCCCAGTGGAGGTGGATGCCCGGAAGTTGCCAGGCCAGGGGAGGGGGCTTGTGGGATGGTGGGCCAGGGGGAGGGAGCTGTGGAAGGAGCCCAGGCTGCAGTAGTAGCAGAACTGAGGGCTGTGACAGAGACGGGAACAACCTCCCTGAGTCACCTCCCCGAGTCTCCCACCGCCTTGTAGGCAGGTGTTACGCTGTGGCGAGTCCTGATGTCCGGGGAAGGGAAGGTGCACCCACAGTCGCACTCCCACTCTTGGCTCTGGGGCTCAGGGCCACAGGGAGCCCCTGGGAGGACAGGACATTGGCCCTGGCCACGGAGCACTAGGATCTTGGACCGGAAGGGAGCTTGGAGGCTGCGGGGTCCCTGATTCTGCTGCAGGCTCCTGCTATGGATGGGGAGCCCCTGTCTTCCCAGCTGGGCTTTATACGGGGCTGACCGCTGTGGGCAGTGAGCACTTTCACCTCCTGCCTACCGTGCTGGGAGCAGAGACAGCAGGCTCTGTCTGGGGCTGTGCTCATGGGTGCAGCAAGTGAGAGAGATAGGAGCAATTGCAAACTGACATGATGGATGCTGGGACAGAAGCGAGCAGGGTCAGGGCAGGCTTCCTGGGGAGGCGACTCCTGAGCTGGAGAAGGGCTTAGTTAGCCACGCAGAGGAGGGTCAAGGATGTCCCCTGCATAGAAATGGAGACCTGGGGGGGCTTGGGGTAGACAGAATGGGGCTGCATGGTTTAGAGAGGTACCCTGGAGTACCTGGATCCAAGTGCTCCACCAACAATAGGCCATGCTCTGAACCTCAGTTTTCTCATCTATAAAATGGGGTAACAAGGATCCTCCACTTCACAGGATTCTTGAGAAGCAAACAAGTTAAACATGTAGATGCTTAGAACACAGAGTGTGTTCAGTCAGGAGAATGAAACAGCAGAAACCCACACTTTAGCGTCTTGGACAATTTGTGGTATTTTTTTCATATATAGCAAGAAATCTAGATATAGGCAGTTATGGGTGTAATTTCATTAGTATAAGAATATTAGAGCTGAAATCTCTCAATTGCTCCTCATCTTTTCCTCATGCTCTTAAGATAGCTGCTGCTACTCCTGCCAACACATCAGGTTTCAGGCAGGACGACAAAAGCCTTCCTAGAAACAGTGCACTTTCTCTCAGCAGCTCTTTTACTTTTCACTGGTCAGGGCTGGTCACATGGTGCCTGCTAGCTGTAAGAAGGTTTGGGAAACAGGAGTATTTTGCAAGGGAATTCGGAACAACCCACCTAGCAGTGCCTTCTACAAACTTTGAATAGCACTTGCTAAATGCATGGGTAAAGGTATCTGGTGTTAGGTCCATGGACCCGGAGCTGAGGATGCATGTATGGAAGAGAGCAGCGGTGAGCTGGCTGCAGACCCTGCAGGGTCTTAGGCACCAGCCTCAAGACTGTGGATGTGGTGGCCCTGTAAGCTCTGGGCCCCTGAGGGATGGGGGGCAGAAGGGCAGCATGATTTCAGACCTTAGTATTCTCCCCGATGACAATCAGCCTAGGCTTGGCCACTGCTGAGTCCCTGGGTGGAGGAGGCTGCTTCCTAAACATGTGGGGGCCGGAGGAAGCGACTGCTTCTGGGAGCCCTGTGCGCCTCCTGCCAGAGGATGAGGTGTACCGTGGCCCAGGCAGAGGCTGACGGGAAATGGTCCGGAGGAGCTGGCCTGGGGCTTGAACTCGGGCACAGAAACAAGAAGGAGGAAGCCATGGTGGAGGTAGGGGCCCAGGTGGGAAGAGCATTTGGCAGCTGAGGACACAGATGGGATGAAAGATGATGTGCTAGGGTTTGTGGGTTTGGGTTTGTGCTGCCTTAGGGGGTACATGATCAGAGGGGGTCAGCGGAGTGGGAGAGGATGAGGTGGGCGGGCGGGGATCACCCAGGCTCTCAGAGTTGTGAGCCCGCTGGCAGGATGTGATGCTGCCCCTCGGGTGAAAGTGCGTGGCTCCTTGGCCCCTGTAGCTTCGGGCTCAGCTTGCCGGGCGTGTGTAGGGCCTGAGACCCAGACGGCACTGCAAGGTGCCTTGAGCTAGGGTTACTCTGCCTGGGAGACCACCCACCTGTGTTTCAGATGTGCTCCTTCGCTCCAGGCCTTCCCACGCTGAAGGCGCTGTCCCCGGACCAGAACGGGCTGGCTCCTGGTCAGTGTCCTGCCCTTCTTCCACCCCTTTGGTATCCTCAGGCACCCCCGGGGGTGACCCTCAGTGACCCTCATGACTGCTGCCCTCGGGTAATTCCCTCCGCTTGAGTGCAGCTGAGGGATATGGGTCCTGTGATTAGGTTACAGGATGCGGCGCAGCTTTTTAAGAAAGAGAGATCAGCCTGGGGGCCCGTCAGAACCCGTGACTCGTCTGAAGGGACAGCGCTTTTCCTGAAGGGGCGCTCAGAGCACGAGAGGAACGTAAGTGGTCACCTCACAAGAAAGCTCCGTCCCTTGAGCGGCCCCAACAGGAGAACAGCAGGGAGGGGGGCTCAGTCTACAACCTCCAGAACTCACATTCTGCCAGCCACCAGGGAGTCCTGAAAGAGCACCCCAGCTCCAGGAAGGAACACGGCCGGCCGGCTGGTTTCTTGGGCCCAGCTTTGTGGGACGCTAAGCAGCGGTTGGTTTAGCTCTGCCCTGATTGCTGGCGGGGGAAAGAGAGAGAGACCGAGGTGAGGCACTGGTGCTGTTTTGAGACGCTGAGTTAGTGGTCATCTCTTACAATCAACAGGACGTGGATGCCCAAGCCTTTCCCCAGGGGGAAGAGGTTTTATTTTTTGCTCAGTAAACTTCTAGCGGCAGCCAGAGCAATCCGAACGTCTGAGACCGCAGAGGAAGCATGGGAGAGGGGAGCTAGCTGAACCCTCTCTTTATGTGGCCCGAAGCTCTGTTTTGAGGCTAAGGGGAAGGAGCAGGGCTTGGAAATGGAGGGAGAAAGATCTCATCTTCTAGCTGGAGGAGTACATCAAATTCAGAGCTCAGATTTTTAAGAGTTTCAGGAATTGAAATGACCCTGGGAGAAAGTACCAGGGTGCAGAGGGGCTGATGGCCGCATGTCATCAAGGACAGTGGTGGGAAACCAGGTGTTTTTCATTAAAGAAAAGCCGACTCGATGGGGCAGGGCCGTGATCACCAGGTCACTGGACCTGGCGCCCTTGGGCCCCGCTGAGCTCAGGGCTGAGCAGAGGTGCCTCCCCCACCCCGGCCGGTCAAGCCTGCCCAGGCTCCTAGCAGGGCCACCTGCTTAGGGATGCACAGTCCCCAGGTCTGCGGTGCAGCCCGGGAGTCTGTATATTCCTGCTGTGAAACCTTAGCCAGATGTTAGCAATAGTCTGACGGAACAAAAGGGAGTAGGCCCCAAGGGTTCTGCTCCGAGCCTCAGGGCCCAGTGGGCTGGGCCTCCCTAGCAGGGCCCTGTTCTCCCGCCCTCCCCAGAGGCCCCAAGCACAGGCTTGCGGTGGACTCTGGAAGTGGAGCAACCTTTTCAGAGCAGCCCTAGCAAGGATGTGGGCGCAGGAAATTCCGGGAAACGCAGCGAGAGCAGAGAGAGGGAGGCAGGGAAGGGATAACCGCACATAAATGGCCCGTTTATAAGCAATCCCCTCCGTGTGTGACAGAGGGCCGCCCCTCCTGGAGCCCTCAGAGGAGCCCCAGGAGCACATCCTGAGTGTCCTG